ACATTCTTCTACAGGTGGAGATTCAGTTCTGCTACAACCATTTACTGAAGATACTGTTTTTCCTCCAGTGAATGTTCTTGGCCCTTTTGCCAAATATCCGGTGGCTGAAATTGCATGTACTCATATTTGGGTCTTCAATTTTGTTCCATTGATCTATGGGTCTATTTTTGTGCTAGTACCATGTTGTGTTATGACTATAGCCCTGTAATATAGTTTAAAATCTGGTATAGTAAACCACCAGCATTTCTCTTAGTGCTCAAGGTTGTTTTGGATATCAGAGGTCTTTTTTGCTTCCATATGACTCTTAGGATTTTTTTTTCCAATTCTGTGAAGAATATCATGCAGATATTGATTGGCATTTCAGTGAATATATAGATGGCTTTTGGTAGAATGGTCATATTCACAGCATTAATTTATCCAATCCATGAGCATGGGAGGTCCTTCAATCTTCTGATGTCTTCATCAATTTGGATATCAGAGGTCTTTTTTGCTTCCATATGACTCTTAGGATTTTTTTTTCCAATTCTGTGAAGAATATCATGCAGATATTGATTGGCATTTCAGTGAATATATAGATGGCTTTTGGTAGAATGGTCATATTCACAGCATTAATTTATCCAATCCATGAGCATGGGAGGTCCTTCAATCTTCTGATGTCTTCATCAATTCCTTTCTTTAAAGATTTAAAATTTTCATTACAAAAGGGGATAATTTGATCTCTACTTTTCCAATTATCACTCCTTTAATTTCCTTCTCTTTTCTTATGACTCTTGCAAGAGTTTCAAGCAGTACTAAAAAGGAGTGGAGACAGTGGACAGCCTTGTCTGGTTCCTGATTTCAATGAGAATGCTTCCAGTTTTTCTCCATTTAGAATAATGTTGGCTGTGGGTTTGTTATATATAGCTTTAAATATGATGAAGTATGTTCCCTCCAGTCCAGTTCCCTCTAAAACTTTGAATATAAATGCATGCTGAATTTTGTCAAAGGCCTTCTGCATCTATTGAGTTGACCATGTGGTTCTTGTCTTTGAGTCCATTTATATGATTTATGACTTTTATTGACTTACACATATTGAAACTTCCCTGCATCTCTGGAACAAAGCCAACTTGACCATGGTGCAAGATCCTTTTCATGTGTGTCTGTATGCAGTTGGCAAGTATTTTGTTGAGAATTTTTGCATCTATGATCATTAAGGATATAGGTCTTATAATTTTCTTTTTGTATCTTTATCTGGTTATAGTATTAGAGTGATGCTGGATTCATACATGGAATTTGGAAGTTCTCCCTCTGATTCTATCTTTTTGAATAAATTAAGTAGTATTGATATAGATCTTCTTTAAATGTCTGGTAGAATTCTGCTGTAAATCCATCTGGTCTTGGGTTTTTTTTTTTTTTTTTTTGTTGGGAGGTTTTGTATTACTACTTCAATTTCCTTATGGGTTTTGAGTCTGTTTAAGCTTTTGCTCTCTTCTTGGTTTAGTTTTGGTGATTCCCATTCTTTTGATATACATCCGTTTCTTTTAGGTTTTCAAATTTAGTAGCATATCGGTTTTTATAATACTCCCTTAGAATGTTCTGGATCTTTTTTGGTGTCTGTTGTGATGTTTCCCCTTTCATCTCTGACTTTGTTGATTTGGAGTACTCTTTCTTTCTTTTGGTTAACTGGGCTAGGCATCTGTAAATCTTGTTTGTCTTTTCAAAGCACCAGCTCTTGGATTCCTTGATTCTTTGTGATGTTTTCTTTGTTTCTATTTCATTAATTTCTGTTCTGATTTTTGCTATATCTTCTTGTCTGTTGGGTTTGGGTTTCATTTATTGCTACTTTTTCTAGTGTCTTTAGTTGTAATGTTGTCATTTATTTATGTTTTTTTCTGAGTTTTTAATGTAGGGCTTAGAGCTATAAACTTCCCTCTAAGGACAGCTTTCAATGTGTCCCAGATGTTTTATTGTGCTGTGTTGTCCTTTTCATTTGCTTCCAGGAATACTTTTAATTTTTAATTTCTCCTTTGACCCATACATAATTCATGAATGTGTTGTTTAATCTCCATGTGTTCATGTTGTTACTAGAGTTTCTTCCAGTGTTGATTTTAAGTTTTATTGCATTGTGGTCTGATAGAATGCATGGAATTATTTCAATATTTTTTATTTGTTGAGGCTCATTTTGTGACCCAGTATGTGGTTGATTTTGGAGAAAGTTCCAAGTGGCACTGAATAGAAAGTATATTCTTTGGTACTTGTGTGGAATATTTGGTAGATATCTGTTAAGTCCATTTGATGTATGGTATTGTTTAATTCAGATGTCTCTCTGTTAACTCTCTGCCCTGTTGACCTATCTAATGGAGACAGTGGGGTATTGAAGTCCCCTACTATTAATGAGTTGGTATTAATCTGGGTCTTAAAGTCCTGTAGTACTGTTTTTATGAAGTTGCGTGCACCAGAGTTTGGTGAATATATGTTCATGACTGTAATATCTTCTTGGTCAATTGTTCCTTTGATCAGAATGAAGTGGCCCTCTTTATCTCTTTTGATTAGTTTTAGTTTGAAGTCTATGTCAGATATTAGAATTGCAACTCCTGCTTTTTTCTTAGTATCATTCACTTGGACTATTTTTTCCATCCTTCCACTTTTAGGTAGTGCCTGTCCTTGCAAGATGAGTTTCTTGAAGACAACAAAAAGATGGGTTTTGTTTCTTAACCCATTCAACTAGTCTATGTCTTTTGACTTGGGAGTTCAGTCCATTGATATTTCAAGTTACTAATGAAAGATGTGTATTGATTCCTGTTGTTTTGATTTCTGTTTGCATTCTTGGTGTAATTGTGTGCTTCCTCAGTTATACCTTCATTAAGTTTCTTTCCATAACCCTTTTATTATAGTCATTCCTTTCTTTTGCTCTTTGTATTGCTTCAAGAACTCTCTGAAGGGCTGGTTTTGTGGACATGAATTCTTTCAGCCTATTTATGTCATGGAAGATTTTTCTTTCCCCTTTGTCTATAATAGACATGTTGGCTGGGTAAAGTAATCTGTGTTGGAAACTGAGAATACGTTGGTGCAGGCTCTTCTGGCTTTCATAGTTTGCACTGAAAAGTCAGCTGTAATTCACATGGATTTTCTTTTATATGTGGGTTGTTGCTTTTCTTTTGCAGCTTTCAGTAGTCTCTCTTTGTTCTGTACATTTAGCATTTTTACTATGATTTGCTGTGTAGAGTTTCTTTTCTGGTCATGTCTATTTGGTGTTCTATGTGCTTCTTGTATTTGTATGGGCATGTCTCTCTTTAATTTGGGGAAATTTTCTTCTACAATCCTCTTGAAGATCTAGTCCATACCATTATCCTGAGATTCTTCTCCTTCCTGTATGCCTGTGATGTGTAAGTTTAATCTTTTCATGGTGTTACACAATTCCTGCATATTCCATTCCTGTTTTCTTAAGGTTTTTAAGATCTTTGCTTGAGTGGTCTAATTTATCAACTTTATCTTCCAGGTTTGATATTCTGTTTTCCATTTCATTCATTCTATTGGTGAGGCTTTCTCCTGTCTTTTCTAATTAGCTTATTGAATGTTTCACTTCCTTCTTCATTTCAGCCTGAATATACTTCAAAATTTCTAACTCTTTGAATTCAGTCAGAAGTTTATCCCCATTTTCTTTCAGTTCTTTGGTTTCTTTCTATGTTCTTTAAATTCATTGAATTCTTTTATCATATTTATATTGTTCTTTTGAATTCTGTGTCCTGTGTTATCTCCAGGAGGTTCTCATTGTACTCCTCTAGAGGACTGTTGGTACTTGGTAGGGATATATTATTTGGGTGTTGTGATGGCTAATCCTGGGTGTCAACTTGATTTGATCTGAGATTAACTGAAATGAAAGAGATCTTCTTGATTGGATCATCTAAAGCCGGAAGACACACCCTAAATGTGGGCATTACCTTCTGATGACAGCCAGTATAAAAGACCAAGGCAGAGGAGAATGTGGGGCTTTTTGCAGCTTGCCTTCTCTCTCGCTGGTGAGTTCGTCTTGCTGCTGTAGACTGAAGACTAGCTGATATTTTGGAATTTGTCAGACCTTCAGCACCAGATTGGGACTACTGAGACATCCAGCCTTGTGGACTGAGCGACTACAGATTCTCAGCCTCTCCAGTGTGGTGCAGCCATTGTTGGACTACTCGGACTCTATCCTGTGAGCTAAGCTGATAATTATACATATTCATTCTACTGGTTCTGTTTCTTTGGAGAACCCTGACTAATACACGTGTTTATTGTTATTATTTTTTGCTGTGACTTTGATATGTGCATTTCTTTTGTAATTTCTGTTTCTTATGTGAGACTCAAGTATTCCTTTGTTGAGTTTAGGTCTACTTCTGTTTGTAAACTTTATGTGCCTTTGAGGTTTACTTTTTGAGCATGAAAAGCTAGTTGGTCTAGGCTTCAGGTTCTCTCCTATATTTTATATTGGAGGAGGCAGATGGCTTTAGTCTGCTGCTCAGGAGTTCCAATAGAAGCCTGTCTGATGAGGATCAGATGCTGTCAGGATTTCTTCTAAGGTCTGGAAGCCCCTGGTCAGCAGGCACAGTACAGTTTGTGAGTACTGCTAGGTAGAGGTAGGATTCAGGACTCTCAGGCAGTCAGAGAAGGAGACTGGTCTCAGGAATCCAGGGTAAGCAGGGTTGGGGCTAGGACAGCCAGGGATGAAGGCTGGTCTCAGGTGTGCAAAGACAGGGTTGGGGAGGGGACAGGCTTTGAGGACTTCAGGGGACTAGACTGAGGAACTGGATTGATCTGGGTACAAAGGATCAGGAAGCAGTGGGGAATTTGGGCCAAGAGGGTAGTCCAGAGGTCCGGGGTGCCAAGAGAAGAAATGGACCAGTGCCTATGCTAGGAGGGGAGACAGGATGTGAGAGGGTGGATGAGGTTATGGGAGTCAAGGCACAGTGGGTGGGGTCAAACTTACCTGGGAAGGACAGTGGCCTCAGGAATGTAAGGTAGGTTAGGGGGCAGGACACCCAGGGATGAAAGCTGGTCTCAGGGGTACAAAGGTGAGGTGGGGGAGGGGACAGGCTTTGAGGGCTCCAGGGGATTAAACTGAGGACTTGGGTTAGTCTGGGTGCAAAGGATCAGGAAGCAGTGGGGAGTCTGGACCAAGAGATTAGTCAGGGGCCTGGGGTGCCAAAAGTAAAAGTGGGCCAGTGCCCACACTAGGAGGGGAGATGGGTGGATATTTTAATTTTTATAAATGTTTGTAGCATGTAACAGTAGTAAACATATGGTTTAAAATATCCCTTTGATCTTTTTCTTTTCCTTCAGTCAGTATCCTACTATGGCTAGTTGTGCTGGTTCATATTTTTTCACCCAAACCCACCAGATTTGCCATTCAAAACTCTATCACAAAGGACCATCACATAACTTGTTTATTTCTATTTAATAGATTTATATATCTATCATCTTACTTCAATAAATGACAGAAACTAAGGTTCCATGTTTTGTCAGATCTTATTGTGAATGAGTTGATTAAAATGTATATGAGAAAATAAAGGAAATAATGTAACTAGTTGAAAGCTTCTTTATAACATTTGGAAATTAATTCCTTCTTAAATGAATATTACAAAAAATTTAATAATAGATTATACAAATGTTTATCCTATATTTTACTTATTAATCTACTCAAATGTGGATATTCGAACATAGACAGTCTGGCCTCAGGCCAAAAGAAATTTAATCAGCATATCAAAGTGTGAAGGGTTTTGTGGTCCCTACTTTTACCGTAGCAGACAATGTTCCAATTTATTGGATTATTTCCTGACATATTGACCAAAGCCATAGTCATCTAAATTTGACTTCTAACAAAGCTAAGAATTATAATATAATTACATAATTTTTCAAAATCAAATACACAAAATCAAGTTAGAAGATCAGAATCATTTAACGACTCCCCTGAGAAACTGTTGCACAGATAAATTTTTATTTCAATCATATAAAATTAAATTGTCAGATTTTGCAGGGTTTAAAATACTTTAATAAAAGGAACTTTACCCAGTGTCTAGTAGTGTAATTGGTTATATTGGAATGCATCATAATTTTGTTATTAGAATGATTTTTTCATAATGGAGAAAGTGATTGTTTCTCCATTTGTTCTCAAAAGAATATATTTTATTCTATTGCACATATTAACTTATTATAGCTAATGTAAATGTCCTTCCAACATTGCTAGTTGTATATCACTAAAGCAGGTGTGGATGGAAGGAGGAAAACTGCACCAGAATTAATAGCAAAAGACTCTAAGTTGATGGCTTTTTTCACAAGTTATTACAGTTTAATGGGAATACTCAGTATTGAAAACTAGATTTGATATGTCTGGAAATTGTAGTTTGTCTATTTCAGTATTTCCCTTTTATCTACCTTCTTCTCTTTGGGAAAAGGTGTCCAAGAAATACAGAACTACAAAATCTAACAGCCGATTCCGAATTCGTACTCCTGAGCCTCTCAGAAGATCCAGAACTGAAGCCCGTCATCTTTGGACTGTTCCTGTTCCTGTACCTGATCACAGTGCTTGGGAACCTGCTCATCATCCTGACTGTCATCTCGGACTCCCATCTCCACACCCCCATGTACTTCTTCCTCTGTAACCTGTCGTTTGCTGACATCTGTTTTGTCTCCACCACAGTCCCAAAGTTGATTTTAGACATCGAAAATCACAGCAGAGCCATCTCCCATGTGGGCTGCTTGACACAGATGTCCCTTTTTATGTTCTTTGGCTGTATAGATGACATGCTTCTAACTGTAATGGCTTATGACCGCTTTGTGTCCATTTGTCACCCCCTGCATTACACGGTCATTATGAATCATCGCCTCTGTGTCCTTTTAATTTTAGTTTCTATTTTGTTTAGTGTTGTGAACTCCCAGGCACACAACTTCATTGCTTTGCAAATTACCTACTTCAAAGTTGTGGAAATATCCAATTTCTACTGTGACCCTGCAGAACTCCTTAACCTTGCCTGTTCTGATACCTCATCTATTAATGTTTCCAGGTATATCCTTGCCACCATATATGGCATTTTTCCCATTTTGGGGATCCTGTTCTCTTATTATAAAATAGTTTCCGCCATTCTGAAAATCAGTGGATCAGGAGCTAAGTACAAAACCTTCTCCACCTGTGGGTCTCACCTATCAGTTGTTTGTTTATTTTATGGAACAGCCACTGGTGTGTACTTTGCATCCTCTTTGTCACATTCTCCCAGAAATGGTTTGGTGGCATCAGTTATTTATGCTGTGGTCACCCCTATGCTGAATCCCTTCATCTACACCTTGAGGAATAAGGACTTTAAAGACTCCCTGAATAGACTGTGCCACAGACATTCAATCTCATGACCTGTGGCATACATGTGCAATGCAAATTCATTTTTAAGCAATGAAACTAAATAGTTACAAATCTCACTTTCTTGGTAATTTTAATATTTCCTTTGTACAGGTTTAATTCATTGTCATGTTTCATAGTAGAACAGCTGTAGGCCATTTTAAGGAGGAGGGAATAGGAAGTTTTAAAAATAGGTACCAGCTGGGTAGGGTTGATGGTTATCTTTCTCTGCCAGTAACATACATAGCACCTTCTAGTGCCATGAAAGTTAGCCAGCAGAGATGTAGTTTCAATGTCAGTACCAACTTGGTTTCCCTTTGTTTGTTCTTGGGTTCAGATATGTTGTGTTTTCTGAAATAGAGTCTTGCCATTCAGTTCTAGTGGATAACCAAGTGCAATGGTAACAGCCAGTATTGGTTGAAGGTCTATGGGATCTCTTTGGTCAACAACCCTCCAAAAGGGAGTCCATTCCAGGCAATGGACTTTTTATTTGCCAGCCCATGGTTTCTATTGTGTAACTATATTTAAACTGTTATAATGTATGTTATGTTGAAAGAAGCTTCTATACCAGGTTTTCATATGACTTTTTATTTTCTAATTTACTTATTTTTATTTTATATTTATGAATATTTTGCCTGCATCTATGTAAGTGCACCCATACTTACATTGCATCTGGAGTCAGAAAAGTGTGTCAGATCCTCTGGATCTGGAGTTACAGATGGTTATTAAACACCATGTAGATGCTGAGAACTGAACCCAGGTCCTCTTTAAGAGCATCCAGTGCTCTTAACTGTAAGCCATACCTATATCCCTCTCCATATGACTTTATCAAAAAAAGGCCTTTAGTGTAAGTTATCCTTCCTCTTATTCCCTCTTCTTTCCTACCCTTCCAAACCTTTCCTATCCATTATTTCCCTATTCCATTAATATCTGTTTATTCTATCTCCCCCTCTATGCACCGTCCCCCTTAGCTCTTTGTTAGTTTCCTGATCTCTAAGATTTTCCAATTGAAACACACCTATCTAAAGATTCAAACCTAGCATCGCTTTCAGACAGAATATGCAACATTTATCTTTTGGGTAAATCTTGGTTATCTCTCCTAGGATGATAGTTAAATAACTATATTCACATTGGGAGAATGAAAAGTTAGTTGAGATCAACGATAGCAATAGTTATACATCAAGAAAAATATATAACAATTACTGCCAGTGAGTTGGAAAATTAATAAACATGAAGTCTCTATTTTTTAAAATCAGAATTTTATCATAATTAAAATGGACACACTAGAAAAGAAATCCTTAGAAATGAAATGTAAGCATGGTCTCCTCTCAGTAGAGAATGAGCCTAGAAACACCTGTTGAGATTTGCTTTCCTCTCTTCTACTTATTCATTTGTTTTATTGGTTTATATCGATATACATAATAATGGACTTCATCATGGTATTTTGATGCATACAAATCACATATTTTATTATATTCATCACCCCATTACCCTCTCCTGCTCCCCTCTTCCTCCATCTAATTCCCTCCATCTTCCCACCTAGGCTTTCTTCTACTTTCATGTTCATTTTTAATTAGTTTTGATGATTCAGTAATTTTATTAGGATTTTTATTAGGATTGCTTACAGTATTCCACAACACCATGCCCTTGGACTATTCCTGCCATATCTCAGGTCCCAGTTCTTGGAAATTTACTCATTATACTTGCTGACAGGTTTTGACTCCCACCTCATCACCACATACACCTTTCCCTTTGAGACCTGTGCTCTGATAACATTGGTTACAACTTCTTCATGGTCCCAAGAAGATTGTGAGCATCCAAAATCACAGCAGTCATTTGCTACTCTGGAAATCTTATCACATTTGGATGGTGGATGAAACGCCTCTGAATTTGATAGTCTGTGAAATGAAAATTGAAAGAACCTGACATGGTAGATAAATACAATAAAATCATATTATCTGGACACAACAAATCAGTTCACATATGAACCCACATAACTTCTAATAGCATGTACAAAACCTTTGCAAGTCCAAGACAGACAAAAGTCAACATGGGTAGAAAAAGATGGGAAAAAATTCCCAGCCCTAGGTGAGGAACTATTGGAAATTTATAGCCATTGGGAGAGGTAACAGTGTTCTTTGAATTTGTGGTAGCTGGTAGGGTGAACAGATTCCAAGGATAGGCTCACACTCAAGAGCATTTGGGGAACACAAATTAGACTCAATAGGCTTTTAAAGCAATATATATATATGATATACATGTTATATATATGATAATATTTATATATCAGGAAGTTGGGTTGGGGGAGAATAACAAGTCTGAAAGTGGACATGGAAGAGGATGTTTGAATATGATCAAGATGCAATGTATGAAATCCTCAAAGAATCAATAAAAATACCTTTTAAAACTCATTAAGTGGACTAGTGAAATGAATGGACCATTGTGCAAAGATCAAAACCCACTTCCCAACTGCTCAGTACTCTAGCTCTGTCCTCATTTGGAGTTAAGGCCTCCTGGATCTGTACATGCCCCCTATCACAGAGATTAATGGTCTGTAATTGCTCATGAAAGATACGTGATTCCTTCACACCCTGGTCACCTAGCTGACTGGTCATATGGTAGCATACTACCTGTCTCTAATGTTTTCTTGTTTTTCTTTATGTCTTTTCTTTGTGTTACTGGAGTTTTTGACCGCACCTTCCAGTTGCATGTGTAGGTCCAGTGTTGTAAAACAGCAAAGAAACTAGTGCCTTTGAGAGAGGAGTTCTAGAAACCAAGGAGGAGAATGAGGAGGCTGAAGGTAGTGAGGGTTCACAATGTTCACATCTGACAAGGTCAGGATGGAAGAAGTTGAGCAATTTGCATAGTGAAATAAAGATAGATGCCAGTTTTTATGTATATGAGTGTTCTGCCTGCATATACGTAAGAGCGCCTATGTATTCAATGCCTAAAGTAACCAGAAGAGGACATTAAACCCCCTGGAACAAGAGTTACAAATGGTTGCTAGCTACCATGTGTATGTTGGGAACCAAACCTGGCTTCTCTAAAAGAGCAGACAGTGCTCTTAATCACTGAGCCACCTCTCTCGTCCCAATAGAAGTAAATTTTTAAAAATAAATAATTTATTGAGAATTTCATACATGCATATAAGGTGGTTCGATCAAATCCATGCCCACTCCCTCCCGTCCAACTCTTCCCATATCGCCCCATAACTTTTTTCTGATAACTTCATGTACTATTTCTTCTTTGATTTATTTTTATGGGGATTTTGGCTACTCTAACATTCCCCCTTCTGAAGAAGTAACCCTAACATCTTTTAAGTATTAGATAAAAACTCCCAAATATTTTCAACATTTTTGGCCTTTGAAACAGAGTAGGTTGCCAAGAGGCCCAAGGACATTGTGAGTTTTAGCCAAGAAACTGGTTACTTTTCTTTGGGGTCTTTTTACCCCAACTGCCTAGCCAATTTCTACCTCCTATTCTTATCACACCATACTCTGAAGAGGTTACACAAATTGCCAATAGGGGATCGGGACACAGACCACTCTGGCTTCTTCCATAATGAATAGGGAAGCAGGGTGAGGAAATTGGAGTAACCCTTCAGAGGGTCTATCTAAAAGACTCCCAAATTGCATAACTCTTGTCTCTAAGGGGAAAAGAAAGTCTTTGAATTGTGAATAGGAGATGTAAAGGAGAAGTAAAGGCAAGAGTAATTAGTATTATAAGTTCTAGACTGGGAACTAGAAAAAAGTCAGAACAGGGCAGTTTTCAAATGTTCATATGAGAGTCCATAGGAATTTCTTGACAAGAGCTTCCAAAAGCATCCCTCTATTGGGTTCCTCCTCATTTTTCTTTTGTCTTCCAAGGCTGGATTCTACAGTGATGGATTCACAATTTGCATTTAGGTATTCTGTTAGCTGTTTGAGCAGGTGTTGGGGCAGTTAGAATCAGTGTCAGTTCCCTCTCAAAGGCTTCTAGATAGGGGGAGAAAACAAATTTATCTATCATCTTAGAACAATAGCTGGTTGTCTCCCTTAGCTACAGGTGGGCACTACAGTACTGGAGATCAAGATTTGAAGTCTTACATCTGAGCAGCACTTTCTGGTTAGGAACAAAATCATCAATGAGAAATAATTGTCTAAATAACTTTTAATATAGACTTAAGCCTAATGTCTGGGAAGTGTAATTCCTTGAACTCTTAAAGAAATATACTGATGACTTTACTCTTTGGTTATACTTTCCTTTTGGGTGTTTAAGACCATAAGTACAGTTGGCCCAAATGAATAAACTTCTTTTAACACTTAAGGTCATTTGAGGATCTGTTTCTCAGGGGTCACATGGGCTTGGGAGGAGCTCCTGGAACTTTTCTTTTACCAGTTCCATCTATGTGAAGGTAAGTCAAAGGTTTTGCTCAACCATGTCTGGCTTCACTTGGAAGCATGAATGAGACGTTTCCTCTGAGTTGACCCTCCTCTTTATAGACTGGTCACTGGTTCAAATCCATCTCATGGGGTCTCCAAGTCCTCCCTGAACAAGAGGACAGGTGACTCACCACAATTACAGGACATTTTGAGAGATGTTCCATAGTCCCCTGGAACTTAGTCAACCTTTGAGGGCAAAGAGCCAAAACTGTCCTTTAATTCCCTCTGACCACATTGGTATCAGCCTCAAACTATAGCTGTTAAACATCCAGTAATGTTAGTTCCACTAGTCTGGCACTTTTAATTATCATGTAGATAAAGCTTGGGTATAAAACCCAAATAGTCTCAGATAAACCTTGACTAGATATATATTTTGATCCTTAAACTAGTTGATTAAGCTATGACCATAGACATTTTAAGGTTATGTGTATATTATTTTCTCTCATCCTCTTATATCATAGCAAACCTAAACACACTTTCATCACTTGCTTAGGTTTTCTCATTTTTTCTATTTTGGAATATATCTCCCATATCCTTTTAACATCTTTTACAATCTCATTTTCTTTTTCTAAAATAATTATGAGACATAATAG